TTTAAAGAAAACTATCAAAATAGAAGGATCTTGAAGTGGAAATCTCAAAAATGTGGTACATGAGGGCAACAATAATTCCAGTTGTAGTTGGAGCCCTAGGATTGATTGGAAAAGGTTCCCATAGACACATTGAATGGATTCCTGGTAGTCTACGCCTTATAGAAATGCAAAAAAAAAAAAAATGTACTCTCCAGTACAGATCACACATTACGAAGAGATTTATCTATGTAAAATATGTGTGATCTTAAGATTTTTTTTCTAATTATTTTTTTACAAAAATTAAAAATGTAAAATGACAGGAAGCTATTTCTGACCCCTGGTTGTGACTCGGAAGTAAATGTGAATACAATCGAAATCAAAAGGAAATAATAATAATGATAATAATAATAATAGTAACAACTACAACTAATTTTACTTTTTTCCTATTTGAATTTTCTGAGGAATCATAATTATTGAGTTAATGATTGAATAAGCTCCTTACGTGTTACATGCTAATAAAATACCCGTGGAAATACCTCTAATGATTCCGTAAATATTTGAGCTTAACAACTTTAATCAAATATTACAATAACAATCACGAGGATGAATGAAGGTCATTTTTTTTAAAGACGTATAGAAGCTATGAAGGAAAAGATTAAAAAAGATTTTCCATTTCCTTCAAGCAGACTTTAAAAACCTGAACGTATTATCACTTCGTTTTTCTCTCGTTGTTTCTCTCTCTTTTCCCTAAAACCAAACAACGCGTTTGGTATATATTTCCTTCCGTCTATCCTCGAACACAAACGTAAATGACCCATTGTTTATCTGAGGTCATATCAGGGCGTAACGTACGTTTTAACTCGCTAAATAACTAACTTGCTAAGGAACAACCATAATTATAATATAATAATTATGCTTAATACATATGTTGATCAATATATTTCGCATTCATCCTCCCTCACAAAGAACATTGGTGGGAACACAATCCTCCACAAGTTGCGTAGAATTATGAGAATTACCATATTCTAGAATTCCAGCGTGGAAATCAAGGCAAATAGACCGGACATAAATGTGAAAACTAATTTTGAAAACACATCTGATAAATATTGCAGTCTAAGCCGACAAAAACGCCATCTTTGGAAACATTGAATGACGTCAAGGTAGAAATCAGTAGAATGTGGTATCTCAAGGCGACAACATTGTTATTGTGGCTTTGGGAATGGTATCAAAAGAAGCAATCAAATATGTAAAACAAATCCCTGCTAGCCGTAAAAAAGTGTGAGTTGCAAAAAATCATACTCAACGGTTACTTGTCACATCTTGCGTAGATTTCTCTCCATGGGTGGACACAATAACATATTTTTCTCCCTGGTTGCATCTTCTGGTGCAAAAGAATTGTTGTCTCTTGTAAAGTCACTTGTTGAGACTTGGGAGCAAAAGTTATACTGCGCTAATCTTCATGAAGATGAATATGTCTTCCTTTTCGTTCACCATTGTTAAACAAAGAAATAAATTTATAGAAACAATTTCCAGATATTAAAATTTCCGCACTTGTTTGATTTTGCTATCTCCAATTTGCAATTTGTATTTTGGGCTTACCATCTGCTAACAACCATGCATTCTGTCTTCTTGCAGTTGACGTTTGATTCTTACTCCTCGCTTTACTTCACTATCACCTGCAGGAGGTTTTGTAGCTTTCTTTCTGTATCTGCTATCAATACTGTGTCATCTGCATATCGTATATTATTAAGATTGTGGCCGCCAATAATGAATCCTAGTAGGACTTCTGGTTCTCTCAGTATCGCCTCGCTTTATAAGTTGAGTAGGTCCAGTAAGAAGACACATCCTTCTCTTACACCCCTTTCTATTTGTGTATATCTGTTGAACTGATTTTCTATATGTACACAGGCCGTTTGCTATAGGTTCGTATAAGTTCTTGGCTATTCTTATGTCAAGGTTATTGAGCAGTTCCAACAGATCTTTATGGCGAACTTTATCGAGCGTCTTTGAGTAATCTATAAAACACAGGTACACGTCCTTCCATATTTGGATTTCTCTTTCTGGTAACATTCTGAGCATAAATGTTGCGTTCCTTGTTCCAGTGTCTTTGACAAACCCCCGCTGTTCTTATCCTATTTCCGGTCTAATTCTGCTGTGCGATATCTCAAAGGCATTTGACAAGGTGGCATATGGCGTTGCCATACAAACTCTTCAGGTATAGAATCTCTGGAAAGCTTTTCGTAATTATCAAGTCCTTCTTTCAGGTAAGTCCTTCAAGGTCTTTGTTAATGGATAGTTTCCTGAATTCCATGAAATCAATGCAATCGTTCTCCAAGGTTCTCTGCTCGGTAATACCCTCTTTCTGTATCATGTTAACTCCGATCTTAAGTAAATACCTTTGCAAACGATACAACAATTTATGGGTACACCTCCCAGAATCTAGATGACCGTAGTATGGCGGCTGATCTCTCCTCTGCCCTAACCCTAACCCTAACGGATCAATAGGGAACAAAAGTGACTTGTAGCATTCAAAATCTTCTAAACTAATCCAGTAAGGTTTCTACTGAGCAGAACCTGAGTTATGATAAATGGTCATACTCGCAAGGAGGTCCTTTGCTGTGAACTCAAGTTCAGCTCAGATCTCAAGTGGGACTCATATATCGATCCATCGCTAAAGATGCTGAATAAATGATCGGTTCCTCGTACCAACACAGAAAGTACCCTTACAAGAGTCAGATCAGACCAAAAATGGAGTATTGCTGCCATATCTGGTCTGGAGCTGCCCAATCCTCACTTTCCAGCTTGTATCACTTTAAAAAGTACCTGACTTCTTATGCCCTGTTCTTTCTTTACAAGAGTCAGATCAGACCAAAAATGGAGTATTGCTGCCATATCTGGTCTGGAGCTGCCCAATCCTCACTTTCCAGCTTGTATCACTTTAAAAAGTACCTGACTTCTTATGCCCTGTTCTTTTTTTTACAAGAGTCAGATCAGACCAAAATGGAGTATTGCTGCCATATCTGGTCTGGAGCTGCCCAATCCTCACTTTCCAGCTTGTATCACTTTAAAAAAGTACTTGACTTCTTATGCCCTGTTCTTTCTTTACAAGAGTCAGATCAGACCAAAAATGGAGTATTGCTGCCATATCTGGTCTGGAGCTGCCCAATCCTCACTTTCCAGCTTGTATCACTTTAAAAAGTACCTGACTTCTTATGCCCTGTTCTTTCTTTACAAGAGTCAGATCAGACCAAAAATGGAGTATTGCTGCCATATCTGGTCTGGAGCTGCCCAATCCTCACTTTCCAGCTTGTATCACTTTAAAAAGTACCTGACTTCTTATGCCCTGTTCTTTCTTTACAAGAGTCAGATCAGACCAAAAATGGAGTATTGCTGCCATATCTGGTCTGGAGCTGCCCAATCCTCACTTTCCAGCTTGTATCACTTTAAAAAGTACCTGACTTCTTATGCCCTGTTCTTTCTTTACAAGAGTCAGATCAGACCAAAAATGGAGTATTGCTGCCATATCTGGTCTGGAGCTGCCCAATCCTCACTTTCCAGCTTGTATCACTTTAAAAAGTACCTGACTTCTTATGCCCTGTTCTTTCTTTACAAGAGTCAGATCAGACCAAAAATGGAGCATTGCCCATATCTGGTCTGGAGCTCCCAATCCTCACTTTCCAGCTTCATAAGCCTCCTACTTCATGCTTTTTTCTTTACAAGAGTCAGATCAGACCAAAATGGAGTTTGCTGCCATATCTGGTCTGGAGCTGCCCAATCCTCACTTTCCAGCTTGTATCACTTTAAAAAGTACCTGACTGCTTATGCCCTCATTTCTTTTACAAGAGTCAGATATTTCCAAAATGGAGTATTGCTGCCATATCTGGTCTGGAGCTGCCCAATCCTCACTTTCCAGCTTGTATCACTTTAAAAAAGTACCTGACTTCTTATGCCCTGTTCTTTCTTTACAAGAGTCAGATCAGACCAAAATGGAGTATTGCTGCCATATCTGGTCTGGAGCCCCAATCCTCACTTTCCAGCTTGATAAAAAGTACCTGACTTCTTATGCCCTGTTTTTTATTTACAAGAGTCAGATCAGACCAAAATGGAGTATTGCTTCCATATCTGGTCTGGAGCTGCCCAACCTCAAGTATCACTTTAAAAAATGCCCTGACCCTGCCCTGTTCTTTCTTTACAAGAGTCAGATTAGACCAAAATGGAGTATTGCTGCCATATCTGGTCTGGAGCTGTTAATCCCTCATTTTCCAGCTTGTATCTCTTTAAAAAAATATTTCTTATGACCCCTTCTTTTAGCCAAGAGTCAAATCACCAAAATGGAGCAGCCCATTGTCTTTTCAGTTTTGACAGAGTTCATAAGCCTCTACGCAGGCTTTTTATGACTGGGGAAATATTTTCAACCATACAACCTCTTTCCCGTAGGCGAAAGGTCGCAAGCCTCTCGCTACACTATCGCTATTTCCATGGCAAATATGCAGTCGATCGACATTCATTAGTTCCACCAGTTTAAGCATTCACAGCTAAATTCTACCATGTCATGTAAACTGGGATGGGTCTTTCTCACTCCCTTTGTAATCCATTGATAAAATGTAAGTTATAATCTGACAGTTTCTTCTCAAGAACTGTTACTTTGTAGAACAAGCACCTGAGAGATGCCCCCCTCCCATCGATCGCTACAATCTTAACTTCTTCAAGTCTAAGGTTAACCGTTATCTATTTTACATATCTCTATAATCATATTTAAACTCTTAAGACTTAAACAATAGATTCAATAAGCCTTTACCTTTATCGCTTCTTGGGTGGAAATAATAAAAAGAAAATGCAATCAGACTGACATAGATATGAACACATCCACTGAGCCAGAGTAAGAGTTCAAGAGATTGAGATATATATTGAAACAGATATAAGAAAAGTCTCAAAGATATGAACAGAATGGGGTAGATAAGCATGAATAGATACAAAAGATAGATAGATAGTTAGAAATAAATGCTCATATATAAACAGACTTAAAATAGATAGATAGATAGATAGATAGATAGATAGATAGATATGAACATATTGAGATAGATAGATAGATAGATAGATAGATAGATAGATAGATAGATATGGACATACTGAGATAGATGGATAGATACAAACAGACTGATATATATATATATATATATATATATATAGAGAGAGAGAGAGAGAGAGAGAGAGATAGATAGATAGATAGATAGATAGATAGATAGATAGATATGAACATATTGAGATAGCTAGATGGATAGATATGGACATACTGAGATAGATAGATAGATGGATAGATACGAACAGATTGATATATATATATATATATATATATATATATATATATATAGAGAGAGAGAGAGAGAGAGATAGATAGATAGATAGATAGATAGATAGATAGATAGATAGATATGAACATATTGAGATAGCTAGCCAGCTATCTAGAGAGCTAGCTAGATAGATAGATATGGACATACTGAGATAGATAGCTGGATAGATAGATACGAACAGGTTGAGATAGATAGATAGATAGATAGATAGATAGATAGATAGATAGATAGATACAAACAAATTGAAATAGATAGATATGAATATAGTTATTAACAGAGTGAGAACAGATAGATATATAGATGGATAGATAAATATTAGCTGACTGAGAATAGATAGATAGATATTACAAATTGCAATATAAATAAATATTAAAAATTGTTATATACGTAGATATTAAAATATCGATAGATAAATAGATAATGAAAAAGAAAGAGAACGGTCAGATTATTTGTAATCTATCTATCTATCTATCTATCTAGCTCGATTGATTAACAAACAGGTGGACTGAGTTGCGTGATAATTAAACCGGCGCATCGTCGTATTAAAACTCAATGAAGCAGTTACCTCAGTCACGCGGTACGTGAGAACCAACTTTCCCGTTATGTCGGCTGAAAATAATCGATGCGCTTGTGGATCGACGAAATTGTAAAGCCAGGACATTTCAGTGCTTGTCAGTCATACACTTGGCGATTGAAAACCGAAATGTCTGCCGAGTACTTCACTGCACCCAATTCTCTGTTTTCTCTCTACTATTTTTTCCGTTTTTGTCCTCACTCTTTATTGCCGTTAGTTTTGACTCTTTCTTTCGTCCTTCCTTAAACTTTTACTCTCCTCCCCCTACTCCTTATTTCTCTTTCTCCTTTCTTATTTTTCTCTCTTGTTTTTAATCTAATCTTTCTTTGATTTCACCCTCTTTCATTATTCACACTATTAACTCTTTTCCCCACTCTCTTCGTTAGGCGTTACTTATTTCCCTTACTCGCTTCGTTTTACTCTGGTTTTTAATCAAATCTTTCTTTTGTTTTGCCCCATCTCTCATTATTTATTAGTTACTCTTTATTGATCCTTTGTATCGTCTGTATTTACTACAGTCTTTATTTTGGTCTCCTTCTTTCTTTGTTTATTATTGCTTTCTTTTTAAGAAACCCTCTCTATCTTTCTTTCTGCACCCTCTTTAACGTTCATTATTTCCTTACACTTCTCTTACTATCCTTAGTTAAGAAAATAGAGCAAATGATATTTGTCATTTCTTCTTCATTCTTCACATACGAAACTAATCCATGTTTGTAAAACTTTTAGATAAAACACAGGCAAAGAAGTTTGGAATGGATAAGGGAGAGAATGAGGAGATACAGGCAAAAGAAGGAAAATATTTAATGGATTATTTTATTTCTAAAAACTCGTAAAATTTTCAAGAAACTAGATATATATATATATATATATATATATATATATATATATATATATATATATATATATATATATATATATATATATATATATATATATATATATATATATATATATATATATATATATCGAAAAGGTATGAGAAATGTGATATGAATACAAGAGTAAGTGATAGGGAGTGAAAATTATGAGTATAAGGGATATAGGAAATGATTTAATTTAACCTGAAGAACTTAAGATTTCAGTATTCATGTAAACACACACGCGGGGTCTGTTCCACAAAAGTAGCAGCTCTCAGTAGCTGTGCGAGTGGAACTTGCTCCTTTCGTTTGGAATGCGGAAGAGATGAGGGTGATTCGACTCCGTGGAAGTAGTATAGAATATCCTATTTGAAAATTCTCAGTCTCCGTCTGTCTGTCTCTTTTCCCCACCTCTCTCTCTCTCTCTATATATATATATATATATATATATATATATATATATATATATATATATACACACACACACAGGCTGCGATGGGTAAATTGTCGTTATTTTATATTTTTAATTTTGTGCATGTGCGTTGTTTTTTTTATTTATATTTTATCGATTACACAGTATAGCAGGGTCAGTTCGGTACCGTCGGTGAGAATAAGAACACTGTGACTCAATTCACTTCTCCATACATTTAATTTATTTCATGCCGAAATTTAATTTTCTTGGAAGCATTAGTAATTTCTTTTTGAAATTTTTCTTTACAAAAGCGTATTACTGGTAATTTTTTACTATGAAAATATATCGCTGGCACCTTCACTATAAGAACACTTATGCCTATACTTTCATAGCGCTTTGACACCTGTTTGGTGGTTAACTATTTTCACATAGCTGGGACCCTAACAGGTGCTACCATCCCGGGTTAGGGTGGGCAGGAGAACAACAGCAATTAAGAGGTGGTTCCAAGCTCCTCAAAACTTCCTTGCTGTCGGATGTAGTTTATCGTCATACCCAGGACGAAAGAAATGATTTACTTTAACTTAAAGAACTTAAGATTGTAGTATTCATGAAACCACCCACACAGGGTCTGTTACACAAAGTAGCAGTTCTCAGTAGCTGTCCGAGTGGAACTTTTTCCTTTCTTTTGGAAGAGATGAGGGTGATTCAACTCCTTGGAATTAGCATAGCTTGTCTTATTCGAAAATATATATATATATATATATATATATATATATATATATATATATATATATATATATCAGGTCATCCCTTAAGTTCTGCCCGAATTTTGAATAAAGAAAACAAGTGACCAAATGTTACATTTAATTACAGATTTAATTACAGATTTAATCAACAATGTTTTTTTCCTGATTATCTATGATTTCCTTCCATCTATTAACAAGCTTACTAATTCTATTACTGTAAAATTCTTTTGGCTTTGATTCGAAGAACTCAAAAATGTCAGTTTTAACCTCTTCCTGTGTTACAAAAGCTGTTTCTTCCAAATAATTCTGTAAGTTACGAAACAAATGGTAGTCTGAAGGAGCAAGATCGGCAGAATAAGGTGGGTGAGGAATTTTCTCCCAACCAAGTTCTTCGATCTTTTGTGACGTGATTCTTGCTGTGTGGGGTCGCGCATTGTCCTGATGAAACATCACCTCTTTTCGATTCACTAGAGCAGGTCTTTTTTTCCCTCAAAGCTTGGTTCAAACGCTCTAATTGCTGACAGTATATTTGAGCATTAATTGTTGCATTAGGTGGTAAGAATTCAAAGTGGATTATTCCATGGCGATCCCACCAGATTGAAAGAAGAACCTTTTGCCCATGAAGTTCCCTTCTCAGCTGTGGCTGGGGTCCTTCCCCTTTACCAAGCCACTGTCTACGACGCTTAACATTTCGATAAAAAATCCATTTTTCGTCCCCAGTCACAAGTCTATCCAAAAAAGGTGAAACAAGTTGGCGAGAATGGAGAGAAGACCAGATGTCAACTCGGGAGGTTGTTTTCAGACAATTTATGAGGCACCCATTTTCCAAGTTTAGGAACTTTTCCAAGTTGTTGATGACGACGAACAGTTGTATGGTTTGAACTGAGAACCACTGCCAATTCCTCAACTGATAAAGCAGGATATTCTTCAAGGGCTGCTTCAAGAAGCTTTTCATCAAACTCAACTGGACGTCTGGTTCGATCTTCATCTTCAAGGGTCAAATCTCCACCTCTGAATTTTGCAAACCATCTTCTACAAGTTCTTTCATTCACACATTCCTCTCCATAAACTGAGTGAATGTTTCTAGCCGCTTCGGCTGCTGAGTTTTCTTTCTTGAACTCATAAAGCATTATGTGCCTCAAATGATTCTTGGGTACTTCCATCTTAGCAGGGTTTTAATCAAACAAAATTTAATTTTATTGTCCTCTGAAATAAAATTTGATCAGTTTAAATGCATCTAAACATAAAAATAATGTTCAGCTCCATTAGACATTATAAAATACTCTTTAAATTTCGTTCATTTTAACAAAAACTTAAAATTCGGACAGAAATTATGGGATGACCTGATATATATAATCTTCAAGAACGTATAATAAATGAGATGTGTGATACGAATGAAGGATAAGGAGGATAGATTAAGACTGACTCTTGACTTAACGAGGTTAAGATTGTATTTTTCAGAGAAGCATCCACCCGGTGTTTGCTCCTTAAAGTAAGTAAGTTTTTTTTTGGTAAAAAGCTGTCTGAACTTTCGCCTTATATTCAGAATATGGGGGAAATGAGGCTGATTCAACTCTGTGGAAGTAGGATGGTGTTTACTGTAGAGGTCTGAAGTGGTGGAACTAAAGAATGGTGCTCATCTGAACATATGTCATGGAAATAGTGACAGACTAAGGATAGGCTTTGCGACTTTGCGTCTGTGGGGAAAGAGGCTGCAGAGCAGAAACCAGTCTCTCCCCAATAAGACCGCATAAATTATTTTAATCTTTATGAATTAATTGACTGATTCGAGTTCTACGGCTTATCAACCCTTTACAAATTTTCAACCCTTTGTCAAACCCTTTAGATTTTACGAATTTCTTTTTTGAGATAATTAGGATTTAGTGATATAAATCTTACTAATTAACCTTGTTACATACTATACCTATGGACACTAATTGGTAAGTCACTATTGTAAGTGGGCTAATATGCTAAGAAGTTCATCACTGCAGTGGTTTACCTACTTCACGCCGCTGGCGAGTATTGTAATTTGTTGATGTTATAAAGATTACCATTTTCATTTCCAATCTCCGTTTTGGTTATTCCTTATTCAGTAACCTTTTCTGGGTTACAACAAACCTATGGGTAGTGGAAGAAGAGCTGGGTTCTTACCCTTCCCAAAGATATTTGCGCGTAGTTGAATATAACGAACCCAAGTGGAATTGGAACTCGGCTCTCCGATTAACAATTCCGAGCACAATTAATCACGTGCACGTCCTAGCTTACAGTACGTGATATTACCAAGTGATTACCTAACAAGGTAATGACCGGACTCGACGTTGCTTAAATTCGGGGATTATACGGGAACTGGTGTTTCAGCTAGATATAGCCGTTTTACTTGAGCTTTATTAAGGCTGGAAAGTTAGGATTGAGCAGCTTCATCTCAGACATGGCAGTAATACTTTATTTTTATGTTTAATCTGATTCTGGTAAAGATAAAGCTTGGTAGGAGTCAGGTACTTCCTGCAGTGGTAGAATGAACCGATCATTTATCCAACAATTTTAAACAATGGCTCAGAGCATTGGAGTTGCATTTGAGGTATGCAGTGAACTTGGTACCCAATACACATTCAGAGCATGTAACTCATTACACAGAGAGAGAGAGAGAGAGAGAAAGAGAGAGAGGGGGGGAGAGAATGATGATGTCACTTTAACCGCATGGATTAGGCTCATTCCTGGTAATCGGTTTATCTCCCCGCTTTCTACCCCCTCCGGGTCCAGCCATCTAAATAAAGCATATACTACTCCTTTTATTTCTCATTCGTCGATTCTAATTGACTGCCTGCTTTCTTGATGCCTTCTTGCTGGCCTGACGCTACGAAAAGTCAGTTCGAACGCTTTCACTTGTAGCAACAGGTAAATTACTGATGTTATTCTTTGATCACTAATTCCAAATTGCCAATCCGCTGATGCAAATCAATTTTTCATTTATGTTACTAAATTAAACTTTCTTTTTTTTTTTTTCATTTTTCTTTCTATTTTTCAGTTTTTATTCAGTTAATCAGTGAGCCTCGTTTTGAGCACCCAATGTAATTCTGTTGCCATTTTCCCGGCGGAGGCAGACTTGAAATAATCCCGGAAGTAGAGAATCTTTTGATGCACTTGAACTAATTTCCCATTGTTCAGTAAAACTGCATTTTTTTTTTAAATTTTAGTTCTCAACAAAGCGATACGAGTTGTTGCACCAACCGATTAAAATATCTTATGATAAAGAATGGCGAAGTAAAAACAAATTTTTCATGCAGAGATTTTAAAAGATCCATTAAAGTCTGTTTAATGACTGGCTTAGTTGCGTATTTCCTGTCAGAGTTTCGGTGTTCAAGATGAGTTTACTGAAGAAGCCAGGATATGGGGTAAATGTGGAGGCAAAAAAGCTGTTCATACAACGCGTTTCGCCACTTTATGGTAGGCGTCTTCAGGTCAGAATGAGAGACAAACCCATGAGCAAAGGGAAGTGCGTTGGAATATCGACAAAGAGGTAATAAATATCTTTATCAGATGTTGTGGCCAGAAAATTTTTTCTTCCATATTGAATTAATTTGTATTTGAAATTAGTAGGTCTCTGGTTTTACCAGTCATGTGCTGTCAGTCATTACTCAGGGTAGGCAGCTTGTGACCTTTATGTAGTAAATTTACAGTATATATATATATATATATATATATATATATATTGCATTTTATGCATAATAATGAGAGTAACCTTCATAATTTTGTTGGATTAGGTGCATATTATGCTACAGTAGGAAAATATATATGATCTATTCTATTCAGGGTATTCACTGCCTACCTTGCCTACCTAGATAGCACGTTCCTGGTTTTTGCCTATTAGTTCGTATACAGCATTTTGCTACTATTGCGTTCGTGATGATCGGTGATATTATGTATGTGCCTTGTCTGAGGTTGACCGTAGAGAATTGTGAAATCAGCGAATCCAGGATCCAAACGCTGATTTTCAAAGCAGATAGTCTGATAAGCAAAACGCCACCAACTCTCATGCATGTTAAATTGAGGGAAAATATTTTTAAGTCCCATTTCTCTTCATAGTATTTGCCTTGTGCAAAATTAACATAAATCACATTATTATTAGTTTATATACACGAGGTCTGTCTTTTGGCATAGAACACTTGTAGTTTTATTACTTTTAAGGATTTGCATACTTTATTTTATAGTATATATATATATATATATATATATATATATATATGTGTGTGTGTGTGTGTGTGTGTGTTTGTATTTGAAGAGCAGCCTTTTTTTTTAAATATCTTTCATTAAATACGGCAGGGAAGATTTAACTTTTTATTTACTTTTCTAGCATGATTACGTTTATCCATTTTCTAGGAGTAAGGGACTACAGAAATTTACCATATATATTTACATTATATATACTATAAAATAAAGTATGCAAATTCTTAGCAGTAATAAAAGTACAAGTATATACAAGTGGCATATATATATATATATATATATATATATATATATATGAATATATATATATATATATATATATATATATATATATATATATATATAATATGTGAAAATATATAGAAAAATAGGAAGGAACTGGTTAGGTAAATAATCCAAAATTCCTTAGTATTTTAGTTATTATTTTTAAAAAATAGTGCTCGATACAAAAGTAGAGCATAAATATAATTATTTATTTATGTCGCGAGTTGGAATCATATTTTTAAATAAATAATTATACATATATATATATATATATATATATATATATATATATATATATATATATATATATATATATATATAAAAGAAAACTGTTCAAATTTTCTCATTACTCTCGTGTTCATCAAATCGTGCTGATCTCCTGACGATCCCGTTTGCGCGAAACATTAGTAGCAATTTGAACTGATTATCTTTTTTTATGTGCGATGTCACTGATTAGCTGTTCGCTCTCTTTTAGTTGCTTTCGACACTGAGCCTTGTATCAAATTGCGTAGGTTGGTGTCTGTCCTTACGTCTGTCTTTTCGCTTCTGTCTATTCTATGTTTCCTTTTCATTATTTCCGTTTTTATGTTGGTTCCTTTGTTTATTGCTTCTCGTATTTTCTATTTCTATTCTTTTGTAACTTTAATTGCAATCATTTGGCAGGCTTTGTTTCGATAGGGTCGAATATATATATAATATATATATAAGTTTCATTAAAAACGACTGACAAGTAAAGTTTTTTATTTGATGTTTCATGCGTTGTTATAATTTTCTCATTTTGGGGATGCAAAATATGTAGAAACTGTCCAAATATTTTGTATGTCCGAACGCTTTCGGCTATACTTTTAGCAATTATCAAGACATACGAAACATTTGGACAAATTCTATATAATTTACGTCCAGAAAAGAAGAAAATTATAACACATGAAAAATTAAATAAAAGTATATATATATATATATATATATATATATATATATATATATATATATATATATATATATATATATATATATATATATATATATATATATATATATATATATATATATATATATATATATATATATATATATATATATATATATATATATATATATATATATATATATATATATATATATATATATATATATATATATATATATATATATATATATATATATATATATATATATATATATATATATATATATATATATATATATATATATATATATATATATATATATATATATATATATATATATATATATATATATATATATATATATATATATATATATATATATATATATATATATATATATATATATATATATATATATATATATATATATATATATATGTATATATATATATATATATATATATATAATATATATAAATATATATAAAATAATATATATATATATATATATATATATATATATATATATATATATTTATTTATATATATTATTATAATTAAAGGGATTTATAAAAATATTTTTACAAAATAAATTATAGCCGAAATGGATCTTTATGGGTTTTTCTTTATCTATTTATTATAATGTTCTGTAATTTAAATTTACATTGTCTTTGGATTAATATCCTACTTGGAATTATACCTACCAGTCACAATTTAGTATTATATATATATATATATATATATATATATATATATACTACTACTACTACTAATAATAATACCCCTCTCTCGTGCTTTTTGCCTGACTGAAACATTGAAACTCAATCCACACCGGGGTTGATAAGACTGACGACAGATATATTTGTCTGCCGAAAGAGGCTATCCCGCGTATGAGGTGATTTTGGATCTATCTATCTATCTATCTATCTATCTATCTATCTATCTATCTATCTATCTATCTATCTATGTTCCTTCCTTCCTTGTTCGATGGTGAAGTTCATTTTGTTATTCAGACATCTTTATATTTTAAAATTTTCATTAAATTCATGCAATAGTTCAGGTCACTTCAAAATGGAAGCACTTGCAACGATTACTTTTTTTATATCAATTTTCACACAGTACAAGGCGTCGGAGCCACTCACGGTAGTGGGCTACTATTAACATTTACTTGCAGACTATTATCATAATCTTAACATTTCGGCGGTTGTATCCATTTCCTTTCATCAGGGTTGAGACGATCCAGATAACCTCCAGGAATTTTTGGAAGTGAACACTTTACTCAATCTACGGTGTAGATTGTTTTCGTTCCGCAGGACAATAGCCTAATGTTTTAACACGCGTTGGTTTGGGAATTTGATGACATAGTGATTATGTGTTCAATTCCTGGTCCGGGTGATGTGTACTTGGATTCAGTGGAAACTAAGGGAGCAATAACTGGGCATCTTCATGTCCTTTGTAGCGTCATCATTTATGCCCTGTATTCTTTAGGACGTGGACGATCATGGCTCTACACATCTTCCTGTCTATTTTAGCTCTAAGCAGCTTTTAATTCCAGTGCTTCTTCGCTATTTTGATCTGTATTTGGATTTTTATGCCACATTTCCCGTCGTCATTTACAGCACTAACCGGAGAGTTTAATTTCTGTTCCTGTTTGATTCTGGCATTTCCTATTCGAAGCACTTTAAGCAGCCTTTCTTGATCATACACAGTACTTTCATAAATTGCACAGATTTCTTTATTTTTACGTCGCAGACGCATTATTTTTCAGCATATTATGGCGAAAATGTGGTTCTGCAGAAGAAATTCAGATAATACAATGGATGGAAAATGTGTGCAATGAGGAAGTTTGAAGGAAAATAAGAACAAAAAGGGGACATTCTTGGAATCAAAAAGCGACCTATTCTTAAACTGCTTGCCATCCAAAGCTAAAGTGCTGAAGAGAGTAAACACAGGTGTACAACTTTCTAAGGATATTTGTGCGAAAAAACAAAAAAACAAAAAAAACAACAATAAAAAACAACAAAAAACTCAACGACCTCAAATTCAGCTGGCAAACTCCACTTTCTGCAATTATAACCGCTATGCCACGCCCACATGCACAAAACATATTTAGGATATAGAAAATGTTATCAGAAACAAAGAAATGAGCGCTTAATATGTAGGGTAGGTAATTGTTCTTAGACATGAAGTGGCTACGATTGTCGTGATCGAGGAAGTAGTCTCCTGGGTTGGTTGCTTGTTGATTTTGTTTAGTGGCATATCAATCTCTATGGGTTGGGTACCTCGAGGCGGTGTAATGCTTAGCAAGCTTGGCTC